ACACACACACACACACACACATGCACCACTGAAGGGGTTTAAACTATTAAGTGATCTAATCAGGTTTGTTTCGAAAAGGTCATTTTGGCTGCTGTGTGAGAATGCACTGAAATAAGGTAAGAGTAAATGCTAGGAGACCAGGCAGGATGCTGCTATTGCAGCAACCCATGTGAAAGGGTATGGTGGCCTAGGCTAAAGTTAAAGTGTCTACATACCTCAGTTTGTCCAGGAAAATATGTCTGCTATTTCAGTATAAATATTATCATAATGTTCCTTCTTTCACTCTCAAGTTTCCCAGTTTGGATGATCAATTTACAGGATCACAATGGAGATGCAAAGGAGTACAGTAGTTGATTTCTACAATTCCTTATAGCTCTAAAACTCTATAACCCCTTCCTGTCTAAAATCTTGGCGCTTCACATTTTTAGGGGCAAGAATCTCTTTGGGAATCCAAGAAAAGCTGTGGTAGAATAGTGCATGAGCTTTGGTTTGAATAAATCTGCTTGCTTCTTAGTAGCTCTGTGACTGGTTTCCTCGTGTAAATTTCTTCATGCTAATTAGTATTTATCTCATGTTTGGGATTATTCGCTGAAATAATGGACAGCACTGCCATATGCTGAGGGTTCAATAAGTTATTATCATGTGTAGTGGTGTTCTTTACTACATTTATTATTGCACAAAATTGAAAATGACTTAAGTCCATGAATGGGGTTAATAGCTATGATATGTTCATACCAAAGAATACCATTCAACAATTAAAAATCATGTGGTAGGTATATAAAACTCTGAAAGATCTGCAAGACAACTCAAATGGAACAAAACAATATGTACTACATAATTTATTAAAATACACACACCAAAAACATACTTCTAAAAAATGAGCATAAACTTCATATTTATATATGTATATAATGTAGACATAGAAAAAAGTCTAGAAGCATGCACATCAAACTGGTGACTGGGTTACTTCTGACTAGAAAAGTAAGATTAGAAGGATAGGGGTAAAGGGAAAGTTTTGCTTTTTAGTATATAAGTATTTCTTTATCATTTGAATTTCACAATAAAAACATATCATATGCTACTTAAACTTACATTTACGCTAAAATGCATTGCTTCTGAAACTTGATTTTTTTAAAAGCAAATTTCCTCTAGGCAGTGTTCCAATTTTATAAGGACTATGTCAGAGTGTAAGGCAATTAACTTTGCACTCACTGATCACTAAAGCTAGGAAAGAGACTATCCTAAACACCAACAACCCCTCATGCCATTTACAAATAAGTAAACTAAGACTCTGGGAAATGAGGTGAGTTACTCATGGTCACACAGGAAACTGCGATTTGAGTTCCCTCCTCGGACTACAGAATTCACCACTCTTGCCCTTTCCAGTTTGAAAAGGTTGTTCTTATTTTGTTTCCCAATCTCTAATGTACCACACTCTCATTCACAATAAACTTTTTAGGAATACATCTGTTCAGTAAAGAGATTATCTATTTTGGGGGGGCTTTTTACAATCTTTTTTCTTAATCCAAGTATATTAGTTTCTTTTCCTCATACCATGGTAGTCTCTTGTTTCTTTGCTCCCTCTAAAAATAATTTCTAGCCGTGAGGGTTAAAATATAAACTACAGGTGAATTTTCAAGGGTTCTTAAATTCGTATGGGGGGGGGAGAGAAAGGAACCTTTATCCATCAGTTTAGTTTATTTATTGGCATAAGTCTCTTTTATTAGAGGTGAAAGCAAATTGTATGTAACTAGTAAACTTTAATAGTCAATATTATAGTTTTAAAACTACAATGACAGCTGTTCATTATACTTTTACCAAAGTGAATCATAGCTAATTTGTCTCTTAATTGTCAAGAAATACGTTACCTTTGCAATGATAAATATATTGCATTCTAAATATCCAAAAACTGGCAATCCAGTATATTAGAATGAGATATGCCTGTAATATTCCAGCAGTCTGGAATGTCAATGATTTTATGTAAATCATTCTAAAATGGAGTACTTACTTACTTGTCTTTCTAACAAGGACATGAAATTATAATGTAGTCACTTCTAGGTGAGACTCAGTTTTCACTGAGAATATTAATTGCTTTGTGCTGCAAGCTCTGTGATAAAATAATGCCCTGGAGGCTATCATATTTCTAATTAAATAATTGAAAGCACTACATTTTCAGATTTCTAACCTTTCATGATACCTTTCCTGCTTCCCTCTTTGTATTTAGGATTAACTATGCTGGTCTATAGCAACAATCCTCTCCAATCTAACTGCCTACATTATGGGACACTAGATAACTAAACTTTTTGAATTGCTTAAAAAAAGAGAAAGTAACCTCCAAAATTAGAACCTTTTCTATTTCAAAAGTTATATTTTGTATGTATACATACTATATACACATATATCATATATATGGTTCACACAATCTAAATAGAGACTGGGGGTGGAAGTGAACACAACCCCAGGACTAATATTTTTGTCATTAGTCCTGGACGAAGAACAGGAAAAAAAATTCTAGCTGGAAAAAAAAAAAATGACAAAATGTCTGAACTTCCCAAGTTGAATTAAAATTTACAAATTCATTAAAATTAAGTATATATTGAAGTCCCTATCTCCACACACAAAAATCAAATCTGAGTATATTAAAGAACTAAAGACAAAATTATAAAAGCTTTAGAAATAATAGAGAATACCTTTATATCCTGAAGAAGAGAGGAGGTTCCTATAAATAAGGTATAGAAGAACTCAGAGTGTATGCTCACTAAAAGACACAGTAATAAAAAGAAATTCATAAACTGGGAAAAGATAGTGGTGTAACACCTATAACTGGTAAAGGAGTAATATCCTGAATAAAGAATTCCTACAAATCGATAAGACAGACAAACAAGTCTATAGAAAAACTGGCAAAACGCTTGACCAACACCTCATGGAAAAGCAAACATAATTGGCCAAGAACATATGACATGAGGCTCAAGTACCTAATTAACAATCTTGGAAAGGAAAATTAAAACCATATGAAATATCATTTATACTCAACAAACAGGTATAAAAAAATAATAAAGAAAATTAAAGTCTGACAATATCAAGTGTTCCCAAGGATAGAGTAACATGAAATCACTCTCATACATTACTAGTAGGGGGTAAACTGTTCCAATGGTATGAGGGGAAAAACATACCCACTTTGGCATTATCCAGTAAAACTGAAGATGCATATATCCCATGACCCAGCAATTCCACTCTTAGGGGTATATGCCTGACCTCCAGCAGGGCAGGCAAACTTCTGTAATGGACAAGGCAGTAAGTATTTTAGGCTTTGCAGGCCCGTATAGTCTCTGTAGCAACTACTCAGATGCCTTTGTAACACAAAAACAGCTAGAGATAAATATGTAAATAATTGGGTGTGGCTATGTTCCAATAAAACTTTATTTACAAAAACAGGTGGCCTGCCAGGCAGTTTCCCAATCTATGCTCTTGCACACACAAATATCAAGGGACATGTTCAAGAATGTTCACAACAGCATAGTTAATAAAAAATAAAGTGGATACAACCTAAATGTCTACCAACTGTAAACTGCAAATAAACTGATATAAACATTCAATTGAATATTACAGTGATAAAAATAAACTATGGCTACATGCTACATCATGTATGAATTTCAGGAATATAGTGATGAGTGTAAAAAGCAAGTCAGATGAGCTTTATATAAAGTTAAAAAAAATAAAAGTAAGTAACATTGCTTATAAAATAACACTATAAAGGAAGGGAGTAACATACAAAAAATTTATGACAACAGTTATTTCTGATAGTATAGGACAAGGGATAGTATATGGAGGCATCCACAGATTATGGAACATTTGTCATAAAAATAAAACATACACTGTATTATGCTCTTTTGGGGGAGGAAAGTTGAGTGATTTTTCTCTTTTGAAAGCGGTTGGAGGATAAGGATACTAGACTACATAAATGATTTGCTTACTTTATTTTTTGAAGAAATGAAACCATTTTTGCAAAGTAAATTCCAAAACAGATAAAAATGGAGTTGCGCTTCCAAAAAATCCTGAGGTTTTGTGTCATAAAAACAACTAAACCAGATGGATTTTATGATAGTTTTGAGGGCTAATAGCATGATCCTAAGATCAGTTGTTACTGATGAACCTTTGGGGGTGGGGGGTGGGGAGTCCCTTTCAAGAAATACAAAATATCATCCAAAGAACAAATATTAAAAAAAATTAAAACTGGTCTCTGATCTCCCCCCTTCCTAAAGCACGTTAAGACACTGGCAAGCCTTATTGTACAGAATGGTAATGGCAGAGGATTAGAAGATTAGAGGAGCTAATATGGGTGAAGAACCATGAGAAAACAGTAACAATACCATGCACTGTCTATAGTTTAAAAAAAAAAAGCACTAGCCTAAAGGACTATTAATAGGCAACTGATTAAATAAATGGTTGTACTATGGTATACTTATGTAGATCTTTAAAAGGATGGTGTATATTTATAATCATAATAAGTCTGGTAGGAGTGACAACATACCATGGAAAGAAAAAATTTGCAGGACAAGATTTATAGTGTATTGTATATCTGTGTATAACTGTATATCCATGGCCACACATACATATACAGATGTATAGAGAGACTCAAGTTATGTCTCTGGAAAGTGGAATTTCAGAGGATTTTTTGCTTCCTTATACTCTTTTAGATGAATTTTCTACAGAATAAAATTCTTTGTAAACAAAACTTAAATTTTCTCAGTAAAAAAAAGCAGAACTTAGTCTATGATGTGAACCTATTTAGTAACGCACCCAAAATTTCAATACAAGTTTGGTTAATTTGTAGATTTTTATGCATAGTGAATGAAAACATTTCTGTAAAAATATAAATGTAAGTATCATGATGTTCAAAAGGCATATTCTAAGGCTAATAAGAGACACAAAAATCAATACAATGCATCTAAAGGAAGACCCAGTCTTTAAATATTATTTCCTCAAAACACCAAACAAAATTACAGCTGATTTGTCACATTAATAAATTAAAACCAATTAAAAATTAAATGATTTTTTGGTTTTGTTCTAAAATGAAATTTGTTGTCTTCAAATATTGTCACATAAAGATAGAAATAAATTAAGTACTATACCAAGAAGTTATGCACTATGTATTCTACAACAGCTAAAATTTATTTTTGGAATTAAATAGTAAGAAAATATATTCATAAAAATACAGCAGCTCATATGAATATATATTTACATTTATGCAGGAATTAATGTTTCCTAACCAGATTTTTCTCTCAAAGAAGTTTTAATTAAATAAGGCAATTTAACTATTAAAGCTTATTTTTTTAGTGACAGTTTAATTATCTCCTGTTAGCAATATGATTATATGAAAATAAGACTAATTTCTGATTTCAATGAAATAATGTGGATAATGTTGTTGGTTTATTTTCTATTTTTAAAAGTTTGTATTTTCCTGGTAAGATATTCTTACTAAAAATTTACCTACTAGCATAAATTAAAATAGAAATTGTGTTAAGTAAAAAAATTTTAAAAACATTTTGCTACATACAGTACTCTGAGCACAATGGCTGGTCCCAGTGAAGGACTTTATTTCCTTCTATCACCAGGATTCATTCACAATTAAAATGATCTTTTTTCAAAGTCTTACTTAATTTAACACAGAATTAGAGATAGATATTCAGATAACTGACTGCTTTTGATGAGGTTTTTTATTTAGACTTTATAGAAGCAAATGTCCAGCTTAATTACACAATTTCCGATTTTCTATTATTTAAGAGACACTTTTTGATTATTTTCCATTAAAATGTTTTAATTTTTTCCCCCTCAAGAATAATACAATGACCATCTTTTGGGGGGGAGGCAGGGAAAGAACAAGTTGAGCAAAGCCCACTCTGCCCTCACAATAGAAATATACTTGTTTATACAGTGGTTACAGTCTTAAATACTTTATTTATGTCATTATTGACAAATGTATTTCTAAAGGGAGGAGGAATTTAAAAAAAGGAAGGGATCTAGATTTATTCCAAACTCCTCAGACTTCTTTTGTCACAAGTAGTAAAGTCTGTGAAACAGGTCTGAATTCCCAGGAAAGGAGAGATACGTTACCAGTGCAGAAGTTCATAAGTGCAGAAGAACCACACACTGAAGCGAGACCAGGCAAGCTGTCTTCCATTCTTGCCACCTACGTTACAAGCAATATAAACCAATTCTGTCTACGTTTCCTGCTGCCTTCCCAGATAGTTCCAGAGCAAATCCCAGTTTTCTAAATCTCACGACATACTTTACATTCTGAGGAAATCTTCCAATCCAGATGGCCTACCACAAAGTACTTCTAGTTGGCACAAATAAAAACTTAAGATCGTTCTTCTCCTGGACCTTTGCTCTCTGAACTAAAGAAAGGTTTTCTACTTATTTATAGAGAGACAAAGAAACTGAAGGAGAGAGAGCAGACAGAGCACGCAGGCAAAAGGAGGTAGGATTCAGACAAAAAACTTGGGCTGCTTTGGGAGTGGCTAAACTCCAGGCGTAGGCAGAAACTCATGAATTAATGCACCACATGAAGATTCACTACAATAATATGGTTGTCCTCGGGCACTACTTTTCTAATCTTCTTTTACTTGGTTAAGAGTAAGGTACAATTGCTTCAAATATGAAAATAGTTTTTGCTTTCTGAAACTGCAAAACAAACATACTAAATAGTTTCTATAAATAACAGAGGTAAAGCCCCCAAAGTGAGTATTTTCTCCACTAGGAAATAAAATAAACAATGTGTGGACAAAGTGGCAAGTCACATTTCCTTTTTCCTTTGGCTTTTGTTTAAAATGAAATTCACATGAACTGTTAAAGAAACTGAAAGAATTACCACTTTTCATTGATTTTTAAAACCTAAGTGTTAAGACTAACATGGCTGATTTATTATCACCATTTCACTAAATATAATGAATGTAATTAAAAATGAGAACAGTCATTTTTCTTAATTCACTAACTTTCCAAATTATTTTAAAATAATATAACTGCACTAGTAAGTAACCTATAATAATAATTTATATCTGGTCAGATATTCCGATTGTAAACCACTCATGCTTACAATAATGTAAATGTATAAAGTAATTCAAATTATAACTATCTTTAGTCTGTCTTACCAAACCAGGTAAAACCAGGTGAAGTTAACAAATGCAACACGTATTTATTCTTTTGATAACTACTTCTAAACCTACTCCTAAGGCTAATCAAAGAACAAATTCAAGGAGGTAAGTGTCCAAAAAAACTATTGGCAGTTTATCTCTTGAATTGCTTTTAAGCTTTATACTTATAATTGAGAAAAGGAAATTTAAACCAATTCAAAGTAAAACAGAAACATGGCTGCTATAAATACACACCAAAAAAATACTGTGAACTGGATGAAACCTAAATCAAACTGAACATTAAGACTGAGCTACAGAGACTGAGATAGGGATAAACAAACAGCAAAGCTAATAAGAGACAAAGGAGTGAAACAAAATGACCCAGAGTAATATTAACAAAAAGCCTTTATGACAAAAGGGTGTTTCCTCAAGTGAGGTTTGAGAAAACACTTCTCTTTTGATTAATACCTGGTACAGATTCATCAAAGTCTAGGAGCCATTTGAAAGGTTAAAAGAAGTGGGATGAGGAGTGTGCAATGTGTTTGAAATAAAGAACATTCCGGTGAGATCACATAGGTAAAATAAAAGCAGACAGAATGGGAAATATAATGATACAAAAGAAATGTGGTATGCCAGGCATGGAATAGGAAAGATGTCAAATTCTGGGTATACATACAAGACAAATGAAAACATATTTCATTTGAATGTTCATAGCAGCATTATTCATAAGAGCCAGAGTGGAATTTCATCCTTACTTACCCTCGAGGAGCTTTCAAAGACACAAAAATCCCCCCGCCCCAAAGTATTAGCAACCCAAATGCAATAATGTATTAAAAGGACAATGAATCATGACCAAGTTGAATTTATTACAATCAATCAATGAAACAGATCACATTAACAGAAAATAAAGCCATGTTCATGTCAACAGAGAAAAGGCGTTTTATAAAATTTAATATCCGTTCAAAACAAGAACATTAAATACATATTATGAAGAGATCATTCTTAATCTGGTTAAAGGGCATCATGGCAGATCATATTCTCTGCATTTCTCTCTCTCTCTAGCTACACACACACACATATAAATATATATGTATAAGCAGGTATGTTTGTGTGCCATCCCAAGTGCTCTTCTTACAATGTATCTGATAGACACTTCTTTCACCAAAAAGCAGGGACTATGTTCCCTCCTCTTGCATCTAGATGGGGGCTTCTGACTGCTCCAATCAGGGTATAGCAAAAGTGATACATATATGACTTCTGAGACTAGGTTATAAAAGGATACAGCTTCTACCTGGTTCTCTCTCTTTGGGAATGCTTGCTTTAGGAGAAACCAGCCACCATGCTGTGAAGAAGCTCACACTAGCCTACATGAAAAGACCACACGGAAGGATTCAGGTGGAGAGGAAATGAGACTCCCTGCCAACAGCTAGCAACAACAACCAGACCTAAGAGTAAATGAGCCTTCAGATGCCTTCGCATCTTGCAGCCAAGCCCTCAGACAACATAGCAGACAAGCCTTTCATGACGTGCCCTACCTAAATTCCTAATCCACAGAATCCATGATCATAATAAATGGATGCTTTATGCCACTAAATTCTTCAGTGATTATGAAGCCATAGTAAATGGAACAGGCATAAAAAAATTACAACATCTTACTTAATGTTGAAATACTGAAAGCTTTCCTTTTGAGATAGGGAGCAAAACAAAAACAAAAAAACCTCTCACCATTTCTCTTCTGTGCTGCAGTCCTACCCAGTGCAGTAAGACAAGGGGAATAAAGATTAGAAAAGAATGTAACTATCACTCACAGACAAAAAATAGGGAGCTTGTCCAAATTATTAGAATTAACAGCAAGTTCAGCAACATGGATGAACATAGGTCAATACACAAAATCAACTGTACCTTAGCAATGAACAGAAAATGTTTAAAGTATCATTCATAATAGTACTAACAAATAATAAATACATAGGAATAAAAATAATAAGTGATGTTCAGGACCTCCACACAAAAAATGAGTAAATTTTGAGAAATGAAAGGCCTAAATAATTATGTAAATATACTATGCTCGTGAGTTGAAAACTCAATGAAAATATACCACTTTTACCCAAACTGATCTGGAAATTTAATGGAATATGAAAAAATTCCAACAGTTTGTGTACATACATGTGTGCGTGTGCGTATGCATGGAATTTGATAAGTTTATTTGAAAGTTTATGTGGAAAGGCAATGGGTCAAGAATAACTGAAACCCTCTTGAAGAAAAGGAAAATGGAGGAGGAGCACTTGATCTCTTGGATATCAAGATTTAATATGAAACTATAGTAGTTAAAACAAATATAGACAAATGGACTCATAGAACTGAGAAGAAAACTCAAAAATAAAAACAGTCATATAAAGACCAAAAGTGGCACTTTAGAGATCTAGGAAAACAAGAGTCATGCCAATATATAACTATGGGTCAAATGGATCTCCATATGGAGGAAGAGAAACTTAACCCTTAACTCACAGCACATACAAAGAGAGAGTCCAGGCGGATTGTAGATCTAAATGTGAAAGACAAATAATAAGGCTTTTAGAATATAATTAAACAAGATACAGAAATCATTACTGAAAAAAGAAAAGATTGATAGCACAACCAATCTTAAAATTGAGAATGTCTATTCATAAAAAGATACCAGTGTAAGTGAAAAGGAAAGCCAGAATAGGGGAAAGTAGTTGGAACATATAACTGACAAAAGGCTCACATCCTGAATATACAAAAATACCTACAAATCAATTAGAAAGACAGTCTGATAAAAAAAATAAAAATGTGTTGGCCAATATACAAAAAGGTGCTAAACCCTATTAATAATAAAAAAAAAATGCAATTTGAAACCACATTAAAAAATCACTACACATTCACCAGACAGCTTAAAATGAAAAGACTAACAATATCTAGTGTTGGTGAAGATGTGGAACAATAGGAACTCCTGAAACTGTTGGTGGGAATACACAGTGGTACAGCCACTATGTAAAATGATTTGGTATTATCTATTAAAGTGTAATAAACACTTTGCCTATAACCCAGTAATTCCAGCCCTATGATGAAACCCAACAGAAATGTGTACACATGTGTACCAAGAGATATGTACAGAATCAGAGCATTATCCATATCAAACACTGGCTACAAACCAAATATGAACAAATTGTGGCATATTCATATAACCAAATATTCAGCAATGATACTGCACAAACTGTAGCCACATACAACATGGATGAATCTTGCAAACATGACATTGAGCAAAAGAAACCAGATACAAAAGTGCTCTGGCTGGGTGGCTCAGATGGTTGGAGCATTGTCCCCTGCACCAAAAGGTTGCAGGTTCGATTCCTGGTCACATACCTAGGTTGTGGGTTCAATCCCTAGTTGGGGCATGTTCAGGAAGAAACCAATCGATGTTTCTCTCTCACATCCATGTTTCTCTCTCTCTAAAAACCAATAAAAAAGCATACTCTCAGGTGAGGATTAAAAAAAAATAATAATAATAAAACCAGACACAGAAGAATACATGCCTTATGATCATACTTAAAAACAGGCAAACTATATTATCAGAAATAAAGATAGCAGTTATCTTGGAGATGTGAGAAGGGGTAATAACTGGAAGAAGCGTAAGGGGGAGTCTTCTGGGTCCTAGGTATGCTCTCTTTCGTCTTGACCTAGATTATGACTGCATGTGCTATATGGCAATAAAAAGGTTTTTAAATGTTGAGCTCATACCCCTAATATATGTATATTTTTATACGTGTATTATTGTGCTAATATGTTATGAACATTATAAAGCTTATGTAAAAATACACATTTAAAAGGTATGGAATAAAGATTAAAATAAATGAGATCTTAGATGTATTGTAATAGTGATAACTTCATACTTTGATGTGTGTGTGAGCACATGCTGGAAAATAGCATTTCTTCCAAGTGAAGCAAATATCTTAAACCTGCAGTTGTAATATTTTTAATTACTTTCACTCACTCCCATACATTGCTTTGTTTTTTTAATAGGACTTAATCCCCCCCAAAATGTTTATAATATTTATATTTTATGCAGACCCAAAGTGGTGAATAATATTAAGACATGAGAAATAAACTACTTTTTGTTTTTTCAATCATTAGTTAATATTTTAAGATTCATCCATATTTCAAACAAGTCTTCTCAATAATTTTGATTGGGAAGACAATTTCTTATCAGACCAGATTAGATCACTGATTTTATTAAACCTGTGATGTGGCTGGCAAAGAGCTTGAATTAAGAACAGAAGGATCAGCTGTGTTATTCTCCTACCGTTCTCCCGTGCTTGACTTATTCCATTATCTTAAATCTA